CAAATTACTTAATTCCTAATTAGATCACTTTATTTTTGGATTAAGTTTTAAGATAGCATTTATACACAGTTGATTACATATGTCAGCTCATCATGGTAAATTAAATAATTTCCCAACAATTTGTACAATTGGACCATATTTTTATTTATGTACAACAGGTAGGATGTAATGAGTTCATGATTTTGATATATGGAACAAAGAGTTATATCTATAGAGAAGGGTTTCTACTTCACCTTTGAGCATCTAAGGGTTTCTACAATTGGACCATTTTTATTTTTTTTACTTCATTTTTGTCAACTCTTCAATTTTCTGCATATAGTAAATATGTTATTATTGAGTCTTAGGTTTTGGCTTAGAAAGTCAATATTTTCATAGAATATTATAACCAATAGTTTTTGCTCCAATTTTCGGTGCAAAAAAAAAAAAAATTAATCAAGAATTAGTTCTTGACATTCGTGTGCGAATTAACGAGTTTTAATTGTCAAATATTCAAAGAAGAAATGACAATTATTTGATTATGTTTAGTATTATCATTAATTTGTTGATTTCTCGTTGCCGTGGCTGATCAAATTTAGTGGTACGATTCAAATACTTAAAAGAGATTTTTCTTTTTCTTTGCATTAAATCTTTCAAAGAAAAGACCAACCAAACATGACGACAAAGATTTCCTTCGAATATATTTAGCTTATATTTGACTAATATTTATAAACTATTTGTAAATACTATTCAAGTCACCTTGTATCCACCTATTTCAAGTAACTCACAAATACTATTCACTGCAATAATAGTTTTTATCTACTTATAATTTAAACTGTTTATAATTAAACATACTGAAGCCGAGGTATAAATCGTTAATTTTATTATGTTGTTAACAACACATGTAAATCTGATTTTCAATAATTTTTGATAAAAACTGATAAAGTGTATTATTTAAAAGTTGATAAAAGTTGTGAATAATCTATTACTAAACTAAATTGGTACTAATTCCAAATTGTGTCATAAAACAATAGAATATGTGTTTGCAGAGCCGGCCCTAGGGCAAAGCCACTAAGGCAATGGCCTGAGGCCTCCAATGTTAGGAGGCCTCTGAAGAAAAATGAATAATTTATAACATTATTTGCTCAACTAATTAGTTTTTACATTTAAATCTTTCCATAGTTTATTTCCTAACACGGGATGTTAAATATTCATTTCTTCTTCGTAATCCGAGCTTCTGGGATTTCTCATTTAATCTTGAATCTTCAAATCTCCAAAGCATTTGAATTCGTTAAGACGCAAACAGTAATTTTTTTCTATAAAAATGGTTTGAATTTCAATCTAGTTCCATCTTTTCAGTTTGCTATCAGATTACCATATGCACAATTACTGTTACAATAACAGCCCATGCCCCACGAGTTACTCATTCAGCCTCGAATTAGATCTTGAAGCAACCATTCATCGGCCAAAGTGTATATTGTGGAATTTGTGTATTTGTTTATTTTCAATAAGCAAACTAGAATTTGTAAATTTAAACTTATTCAATCCCTTAAAGAGATCAAATCAGCTTGAAAGGTATAAAGAATAATTTCCTTAGACCGAACACAATTTCAATGGCTGTTTCACGAATTTCTTTCTAACAATGAGATAGGTTGCCAAAATCAGCGTAGCTCCACTTGTAGAAAATTGTTTAAGGCCTCATAATAGTTAGTCACCTGGGGCCTTAAAATTATCGGGGCCGGCCCTATGTGTTTGTTTAACGAAAATTTGGGCAATTAAAAAGATAAGATAGAAAAGTGATTATGTTGTCATTTCAACACGTGGGAATTGTGGTTCCCAGTTAGTGAAGTTGGACAGTTAGTGTTGATCTCAATTGTCTCCCCACTGATAAGATACCAATATTTCGTGTTTCCTGTGGGTTAAAAATTCACCCGTCCATCTTTGGACCCTGTTTGGTTTGAATTAATATCAAACTAAATTTCAAATTAAAGTCAACTATAAATTTTAATCATACATTTTATTGATATTCATAACTTGACATTTATTTGATTCTTCTCGCAACGGATTATTTATTCATCCCATCCACAAATAATTCTTTGAAAGTACAATAATATCAAATCCTTTTGAGTATCATTCTTGCGAACGTACTCCCCAAACAAAATTGTTCTTTTTCTGACGACAACAAAAATCTTCGTCGTACGTTAACCTTTCCGAGTATTTTGTAACTTTTCAACATGTACCCCCATTCTAAAATATGTACAAAAATTAGGGCGTTGTACATTAAAATTGATTATTAACTAAAATATGAAAGTAAATTTATGGATTAATAAATTAGGTCCATATTATTTGTTGATTCCTACAACATTACTAGGACGATATGCTTGTCAAACACCTTTTTAATTCCTTCTTATTTTTTAAAAAATAATACAAAATAAAATATTAGAAAGCCTGAGAAAACTAGCCTGAAGGGATATGAATTTGACTATACGAATGCAACACCAACTTTTAAAGGCAGATAGGCCAAAGTCATGGTCGGAGAAAGTCCTGGGCAGGCTCCAACCCAAGTTTACACACCTATTCGTTGTACACCGAACTTATATATATATATATATATGAGACCAATTTATAAAGGATTTTATTACTTCTCTTAATAATGTTAACATTTTAAGATGGAACTCCAAATTTTATTTTAAAAAAACAAGTTAAATAATCTGGAGGTAAATTGTTCAATCTTCATTAGACACAAAAGCAATATCATTCGTGTGATTGCACCGTGTAAATTAGACTTAGAAGTGATAAATTGTAGTTGATGCTCAAATGGAGACCTAGTCGAGAACTTTAAACAAATGATCGATGAACATAAGTCATTAATACACATACATATTCATGATCTTAAAAGTGAAATCTAAATCGACTAACATGGGTATGAAAAATGTTCTTGCCAGCTTATTCTTGTTCATAGATGGTCAAAATTGAGCAATTTATGAACACAGAGAATACACTATGAATGAGATGGTAAAGGTAAGGGTTTTGTTTTAAGAAAAAATGATTTGCTTCGAACGACTTTTGTTTTTATTTTTGCTTCTTATAGAAGAACTTTATGGAGAAAAACAAACTTCTTTTGAAAGCTTTTTCTAATCAGACAAAGTATTTTCAATTTTTTTTTTTTTTTAAGCATGTATAAAAGCAACTTCTTAATTGCTCCACATAAATTGAGGGATGATTAAATTAGATCTTGAAAATTAGGAAATAACAGTTGAGATTTTGTAAATTAATTGAGATAGCTTGTAATAATTTTGAAACACTAGTAGCTAGTAAGCACGTCGTTGTACGTTATATATATATAACATACAGACTTCAAAATAGAAAATAAGAGCAATCAATCTTTATTCAACATTTTCACATTTTTTGAAAACATTATAAAAATAATAATGTATTAAAAAATTTTCTATAATCTTCCCTTTTAATCAATATTTTAAAATCCGGACCGGGCATTGATCCAGAAAAGCGAAAGGATCAAAGCTTAAAGGGTTGAAACGGGGTCAAAACCGATAGCTAGAAAAAGAAAAATAAATATATTTTCAAAACGTATACGACAATTCATAATAGTATAATATTTGTTAATTGAAATACTTGAATAGTTTTCTATTTTTTTATTAATTAATATAAGAAAAAAATAATTAACTGACGCAATTAAATAATTAATAAAAAATGAGAGGATGAGGGAAGAGAGTTGAAATTAGAAAACAATAGACATTAATGATTACAAAAATCAAAAAAATTGGACTGAGATCAAGGCTTAAAGGATTGAAACATGGTCAAACCGAATAGCTAAAAAAAGAAAAATAAATATATTTTCAAAACTTATACGACAATAGATAATGGTATAATATTGTTCATTGAAATATTTGAATAGTTTTTAAATGTTTTATTAATTAATATATGATAAAAAAATAATTAATTGACTCAATTAAATAATTAATAAAAATGAGATGATAAGGGAAAATAGCTGTAATTAGAAAAGAATAAACATAAATGATTACAAAAATCAAAAAAATTGGACTGAGATTTGTCTACAGCCACATGCATGTGCTTTTAATTTGTCCCACATCGATTCCCACAAGAAAGCCTCTGGAAATTGATTCTATAAATGGGTGGGCCAATTATTATAGAACTTCTGATTTTCTACTGCAAAAGGGCTGAAGGTTGAAAAATAATTAACTTTTAAACATTCAACCAATCGGAATAACCGCTAAAACTGCTTCCAAGTCTTTCAATTAGTGCATAAATTGGTCATTTAACCGGTTTTTAGTGGTTTTAAATTAAGCCTGTGTTTAGTAGTCATTTTGGGGCATATTTTTAGAAATTTTCCAGCTTATTGATCATCAGAAGCAGAATTACCTTTTTACTCTAGTTTTACATTTATTTCAAAGTTAATGAGGGGCATTTCAGGGAATTTTCATGCCATTGAGTCAAAAAAGTGGTTGTATATGAGC